GTTCTGAATGCATTGGTACGATGTTTGATCTGAAGTTGACATCCAATGTCTAAGGTTGGTAAATGTGGGCGTGTCGTTGGTCCCAGGCGCAGATCCAATGTTGGCCAATCTAATGTCCAACGTTGGCTCATTGGCATATACTGTATATTTACTTTCATTGGGCCAATGTTGACGCGCAATGTCAAACCTACATGTTGCAGATTGGCGTACTACGTTCGACCAACATCGGCCCAACTCATTTTTGCTATCTGGATTACGTCTTCCTGGCTCTGAGGTGGTGCTTGTCTATGTAGCAGCATTCAGTGATGGTGCCGTGAAGGCAAAGGATTCTGGGAAGGCACAGTAGTCGCATGTTTGCGATCGACTCTCTCTTCCACCTCCTCCCTGTCGTCATCGACGAAAAAGGGAGGAGCTCCTCTACTCCATACCATACTGGGCGCATTCAGTTGTGATACGGGCTATGACTCGAGTGATGGCGCAAAGCAATGAATGCATTGGGTTTTAACGCAGAAACCTGTCTCAAGTCATGTGCTATGACCCAGTCTCAGAGATCGAGTCATTCCCATCGTGTCATCTCAACAAACATGGTGTCTACCATGGAAGGCATTAAAAGTGCTTCTCTGCAAGCAAAAATATTTGAAAGTGTCCATACCATACAGTGGCACAGTTTTTTCCACAAAAGTGTCCAAAGTAGTACTCTGACCTGAGGATCCTCCCTGATGTCGACAAGCCATTATTCCTGCAGCCAGTGTAGCATTTTCAACTGAAGCTCTGAGGTTTCTGAACCAAACCAGAAAATTTTTTTTTAGGCGTTTGCTTGGAATTTTAATCTCAAGTTATAACATGTTCATTGCTTAATACTTAAGCTGTGCCAAGGTGAACCACGCCAAGAGGCCGAAAAGCTGATCCTAGAGCGGTACTTGTTATACGAAGAGCAATCTGTACCATTTCACCATTTCCCATTTTTAACTGTCTTTGTTGATGGTACTACTCATAATAGCAATTAAACTACACTTAAATCTTGCACTATCTTATTCGAAAAAAAAACAATACGTTCAGAAGGTTGTGTGAAGTGTTCAAGCGGCCCATGCTCCTAGTCATGACTCGCCCAATTATCATAGACCGAGTCACAACTGAATGCGCTCGCTATAATATGACTTTCTTTTTTGTTGTCAAGGGATATGATAGAAAAATTTCGTTATTGTGTAGGTGTTGCATTCAAGGTTAAAGACTCGAATCTTGGGTTGAGATATGAAGAGGCATGTTGACATTCCAATTCGAGGTCGAGCTCTCATAGATGACAGTATTTTCCGTCTGAAGATAAAATGCCGGTGGGAACGTGTCCCTTTGCTATCTAGTTATTTACAACTATGTTGCTCTCACCTATTCGCTAGACAAAAGAAGAATGCGACAATCTCCAGAAAAATATAGAAAGGTGAATCAGATTGTACTGCTTAGGCAATAGTACTATTGCAGGAGGGATTCGAAAGTGAGCCTAGAAAGTGCTTCTGGCTCGATTGAGATGTTTTCGAAAAGGACAAGCACTGAGGTTGAGTCAACTCATTTCTTGAATTACTTTTTTGTCCTTCAATAAGGGTAAGCCTGGTGAAAGGATGCCTACATTCTTTGGGAAGAAAACAACAGGAATGACAAAATGTTGAGAGACTGAAATATCTGTACTTCTCTAATGAAAGGTGATTAGTAATATGGATGCTATCTCTAGCCGAAATCAAAGAAAATTTATTGAATTTAGGTAGCTTAAAACAGGTTCGAATCAATTTATTTTTTATCAATGAAATATACTATCACCGTTATATGTTGTATGTTCAGTGAACTAGAAACTGAAGTTAGGTCAATTTTGTTTTAATAGTATTAGAGCTTTGATCACGAGTTTCATATTGAAAGTGACTTTCGCATCGACTGTTCGGATTATAATGAGTAGGCATCATTTTATTAGTTGAGGGGATATTGGAAAATTGGGTACGCTACGTTTCCTATGTTGACAGACTGCTTGCTGTTGGGATATTCTGTGACGTGAATAACATTCTGATGTTTTAGAACAAATCATATATGTATCTAAATGTTCGAAATTGGTCATGTGATTTCATGATTGATAGAAATAAAGTTCTGGATGCGAAACGATGATTCATTGAGCCAACTTCCGTCTGCTGAAACGATAATCTCTTACGTTGGTGACATATCTACCTGCTGGTCTGTTTCACATGCTTCCACATTGCCTCATCACTGTCATGAGTCACGATTCCCTGCTTATTAGAGGTATGGAAAGGGGTAGTGATCACTTTATTCTAGTTTCACCTTCAGTAAAATCGAATCATTATCTCTTGAAGACGAATGATCCTCTAAAAAACGTTATAGCAACGTTAAAGCCTCATTATAGCAATCAATAAAATCGGACACTTATTAATTTATTATCCATATATTCGAGACAGAAACATAGAGCCCAGGCAATAAGTAAGCTCATACTCCATATGAGAAACCCTTGCATCCCGATGCGCAATTACCCAAAAATGAGTTCCTACAAACTCATTCATATAGAGTGTCTCTATTCTCCGTACTTGGGAGGGAGAATGATTTTTCCACTCCTAGCGAAGGAAAGGAGGATTTCTGTACTCCACAGAGCAGAAAGGGGAAAGCCGTTCCCTGGAAAGTACTAAGATTAGAACTTTCAGAATAATATTTAATCCATTGCCTTCATTATTGACCAATTATGGAATGCTACAAGGGTGGGAGTGAGAGTTCAAATAACATTGCAATTGCATTGCAACATTGCAATAACATTGCAATGTTGGCTCAACGTTCAGCCATTGTTGAACTTCAACGTTCATCTGAGTGTTTCGATAAGCGACATTGCAATAGTGACTTAATGTTAGCTGCAACGCCAACCAAACACTGGGAAGGTTCAAAATTAACGTTCATACAACGCCGATTGAATGTTAGTATGTTTGCTGGGTACCTGGCTTCGTCCTGTGACGGATTGACGTTTTTGGTGCTATTATCATCAACTTAACGCTAATCCAGCGTCCAGGCTCATCCGTATTCTTGCATTTTCTTTTGCGTTGCGGTATGTACGAAGGTAAGTTGTTAGTTGCATGAACGCTGAAAATGCTGTTTGTAGCAAATGAGCAACAATAACATTTTCGGGCTTACTGCTTACAAATTTGAGGGTAAATTTTTTCCCCCGACTTTCCTATGTTCTAGGGTGTAAGCTACCCTACCGCCGAAAAAAAATAATGCATTAAAGGGTTAAAGAGTAAATACGTGACTTCCTCTCCAGTTTCTGCAAGATATCAACTTCGGTCGCTGCTCCTCACTTGAAGGAAGAACATCGTGAGAATTGAAGGGGTCTCTGCTGATGGTGAAACATAGCAGCGTCTTTCATCCAGAATCCGTCCGAAGCTGTGAAATAACTTCGACTTCTTCGTGAAGCTATGTGATGGAAATTTGTTGGACATTTCCTACAATTTCCCCGACGAACTATTATCATTCTTAAACGAGTTCCTTCACGGTAAAAAAAAAAAAGTTAGAAAATAAAACTCCCGAAAATTGAGAGTAAAGCAGGGGAAACAGAGTTTTCGTCTAATCCACAGAAATGGGAATTCTGCTACTTATCGAAAACCATACCTATTTCCCACGTAGATAAACTGTTCTGAGAAATCCTCGGAACAGTCAAATGAAATCTAAGGCCGTATGCTGTATGCTCTACGTGGTAGGAGAGAGGCAACTATACATCACACGATGCATAGGCTATCGTGCAGCGACAGAAGAGTAGTGCTGGCTGGGTTTCATGCAAGCCAAGATTTCCTCTCGTTTACACACAGCACGAAGAATTCCCGACAGCGATATCCAATACACGTATAACTGTAGGGGCTCTGATGAACCCCCAGCAAGCCTGCACTCTATTGAGATGAGCTGAGGGCGAATCACATCCCTGCATGAGTGAACTTATGCAGGGATGTGATTCGCCCTCCTAGCAACTATGTTCTCTTCCCCGCCGTTAGCCGCATGAACCACTCAGGCCAATTTTGTTATTTTATGTATCTTGATGAAACATATGGAAAGCTGGAGAACCTTGAGTCTAAACAAGGAAACGCTCCTTCAATGGACCGTTGCAGGACTTGCGAATAAATGAACACTATTAAACGACTGCATATCTTTAGCAAATGAGTCCAAGTGCAATTATTGAATATATCCAGACTGTAGTGCCTGTGTAATATGGATGAGCCATCTTAAACGACAGGGTGTAAACTCAAATGCCAGGTCACCTCTTCCTTCAAGGACAAATGATTCTTGGCTTGCCATGAGTTTGTACCTTCCACTCAAGTATAAGAAGGAAAGGGGAGAGAGAGGATGAGGAAATTGGATCTTGATGATACCTTAAGTCTCTCGAAACTGAAGGAACGTGTACGAGCAATTCTTTTCCTCCGATAAGATATAGAAGCGAAGCGGTTTCATTCTGCGTCAGTCAGACCACTCATGCTTTCATGGGTGTGACTGCGTCCGTATGAGTCATTCAGTCAATGGCGATTCCTTTATATACTTATCTACCTGCCAGGTCTCTCTCAATGATTTTTGTATCTGTTTCGTGGCGCTGCGATGTGCTTGACTTCCCTAAGTTCTTGCTCCTACGAGTGGCACGTAGGAACGTGTAACAGAGTGACCACAATGGCGTGGAATGAATGACAAACTCTTTTCTAATTGGTAGTGAGTGCCTTTTTGTGATGCTGAAGACGAGCCAGAGGAAATCTGTAAATCCCCTTGGGAGTTTCTAGCGAAATCATTATGACATGCTCTTTCGTTTATAGCTATTTTAATTTGTTGCGTCCACTTGTTCATCGATCTCTCGAGATAAAAAAAAAACTTCCTGTTCCGATCTCTCCTAGACAAGAAACTCTTCAGGAGTTAGCTGAGAGAGAAAATGACTGTGTTACTGGATTTTATTTTTATTCAATGGGAAGGCATATGTATAGTCGGTTGTGTTCTCTTATCTCAAACCTTGGGATAGTTCTTATTTCCCTCAGGTAGATATAAGAGAAGAGTCTCTCTCTCACACCAACACGCATCCACATTCTCTTCCTATCTGTAGGAACCTATTCCTTTTGCATTTGAGGAATATAGTCAAGGATTGGAATCATGGGGAAATTCGACGCAAGGAATGTCCCGGCATGCCCCAAATACCTCCTCTTCGTCTTCAACCTCATCGTCCTGGTAAATCATTCTTCTCATTTTCTGGGTCTGGATGAATTCAGTTATTGAGCACTCTATATGGGCAAACGGAGGGATAGCAATCAATGGTCAGCTGCTGCTCCCCTGTTAATGTAACGAACTGGTAGCTCTTGGAGAGGAAGAGGAAGCCAGGAGAGGACCGCTATTTCCATCCGTTTTTCTATATTGTGGCTTCCAAGAGTGTGATAAGCACTTTATTGCAATTTGGCGATGCCCAGACAAGCAAATGCACGTGTATGCATAAATATGCACTGTAGGGGAAAAAGCACTCAAGAGTTTTCCCTTCAAAGTCCATAAGAAACGAAAGTTCTTTGTTGACTAAATCTAGCAGTGAAATTGCACCAGACGTTGAGTGGTATGAAAACAATGTTAAAATATTAGCCACTCATGCTTCAGATCTCCAATTGGTATGAAACTTCTTTTAATCCTTATCTTTGGATGGAAACATTTTATTCTTATGCTATTTCCTCTACTTAAATTGTTTTTGACTTTAGCTTACTTTCAAAGTGTTCCCCCCCCCCCCCAAAGTATATTGTTGACTATTTCTTGTCATCCCTCATGGCGTTGAAAGCAAAATGACATCCATGAGAAAACTCTCTGAGTAAAACAATCAGTGATGGATCACCTACTCATGATGGATCACGTATGAGATGGTATAGCATCGCTAAGAGCGGTATCTATCTAGGAAATGATTGCAACTTGCAACCAGTGATATCATGGAAAATGTCAGCCTCCTCAAACACGATCCATCACCGGTAGGGTATTCATCACTGAGTATCTCTCTGCGACAGTTGCTACGTGAGCAAAAACGCTCTACTGCCACCAAAATTGCTCAATAACTAAACAGTGTGTTAACTGAATTGAACTGAAAGGCCAACAATGTTTTCACTTCTTTCTCGTCTCAACCTCTTTTTATCTGTGCCATGCAGCCGTTCCTTCAGCCATCAGTGACCACTCAGCCGCCTCAGAAAGTTTATTGGTGTTATGGTTCCTGAACTGGTTAGGTCTTAGTCAATTCACATAATATTGGAGTTTGAAAATTTTCTGCAGAAGAAAAACTTAAATGTGATCCACGAGAGCTCAACGAGAACTGAGTCACTATTCCGTATTCCATCTTTGCGGAGTTATGTCCATTTCGCCACTGTCTCTGAGTAAAACTTGAGTGGTAGTGATTGAGTGATTCAGTGGTAGTTTTGAGGAATATACAGTATATGCTTCTAAGATCCAACTCACCATCCAACTTCTTGAAAGACATGCCAGTTTCCAATCCCAAAGGGGACTCTTACAGTTTTTCCCAATTGCTAACGTCCGTTTCTCAAAATTACACTTCCGTTTTCAAAACAATTTGAACAAATCCCTGAACTCTGCAATCTTTTCACAAAACTTAACATCCGATTTCATTGNCATGATCGCAGAGGCATCTATTGTGGTGCAGAAATGTGCAATTCCCCATTTAACGAAGGCGAGAGGGGAAGAATGGGAGGGGTGAAGTTGTGTGCTTTCGAGCAGCACCTCCTCCAAATATCTCACATGAAATAATCTCTATGGGCTGTAGGATGGCTTTCATAGGATTAAGTCTGCATTGACTTTACCCGGTTAATCACTGTTGAAACACCCGGCAAATACATATCCACTCAAGAACTGAACCTATATTGTGTTAGTTGTCTGAGTAGACGTTGAGGACAAGAGGTCCTCAGTGTATGATCTGCAAAACTGTAAAAGTAGTTCATGAACAAATTTCATAGAGAAATGACTTCAGTTTTTTGGCGCTAGCACACCATCAGCCAGATATAGCGCCATTAATTAACATAAGAAGATCTAAGATAGCAATGCCCAGACTTCTTTGAATCGCGATCCACTTGTCGACGTCCAGAAAATTTCACGGCCTACGGGAATCCAGAACAATATATTTTCAAAGTAATTATAACGTGAAATAAACTCATTGACCTTTCTTCCGGCATGCTTTAACCTGAAACGATGCAGAATTAGTGCTTTTTTAAAATTAGAATAGGAAATTTCACGAGACCCACCGGTGGGTCTCGACCAGCAGTAGATCCTCTTGGTTTAAAGACAACTTTTCTTTTCGGCTAAGACTTTACCCCCCCCCCCCCCNCCCTCTCCGCCTCCTCCCTCCCCCCTCAACCCCCCCCCCCCCCCCCCCCCCCCCCCCCAGGGCTATTAGAGCTAATCGCTGTTATTCCGCATGGGAATTTGTCTCCACATCTGCGAGGGTCAGAGAGACCCTTCGAAACCGAATTGGATGTCATCTCCAGTAAATACAGTATGACCGAAATTATAAGGTTCTGGGTGAAGTTACTCGGGCATGAAAGCTGGAGGCACGGCAGTCGTTTTCACAACCTGCCACCAATTATTGAGGAAAATGCTAATGTTTTACTTTATTTTGAAATATTTTCTGAAAACAATTATTGCATTTTTGTGTATTATTGTCAAGATAGATCGGAGGCTTGGTCCTGACAATCATAGGGATAGTGGCAGTGGCGAATGAGGACTATTTTAAGGGCGAGGAGTTCGTAGATCATGACATGTTCAGGGCTGGAGCCATCGTCATCATCGTCGTCGGTGTCATCACCGTCTTCTTCTCTTTTTTCGGATGCTGCGGAGCCATCAAGGAATCCAAATGTCTTCTCATGACCGTATGTTCGATCCACCACCATAATAGGGGAAGTTGGAAGAAAACAGTCCATACGACTTCCGTTGTCCATGTCCTTAGTACGCCGTGCTGACTACGTTGGCCCTTATTGGAATTGGAACAGTCGCGATCCTGGGATTCGTCTTCAAGGCGGATATCGTGCAAGAAATGAAGGTTGCTTTAGAGGACAAAATGAAAAACTATAATGATAAACTCAACAAAGAAGCCTGGGACAACCTGCAACAAAACGTAAGTACCAAATAACCTAAGCCCCTACAAAATTGTTTGCCGCTCCCCCCTCATTTACCGCTTTTTTACCTGTGATTTACCCGTATTTTACTGCAGCACTACCTCAATATTTTACCTCTATCCCCCAATTTACAGCTCTTTTACCTGTAATTCACCATCTTTTTACCTACAGGGTATCCCTTATCCCAGACCCTCCTTCGAGAATACTCTAATGTAATTCTCTCCTTATATGATAGGTGTATATTAACACTGAGACCATGAAAAAGGTATGCTAATCACAACAACCATATAGGTGTTGTGATCCAAGAATAAAAGCATTACTTGCACAAGAGAATCACATCGTGAAGCAGTCTGCTAAATTTATTTCTAATCTATATTAGCAGATGACTTGTCGGTCTGGTCATTAATCTCAGAATTCTGAATGCATTTTTGCATTAGCCTATTCCGAGCTAAATAGTTGAAAGTTCACAGACCCTGAAATAAGCTTAGCTTCGCTTAGCTAGATGTGCGGGCCGACGGCAGCCAAGAAATATAGATGATGTCGGTGAAGCAGAGCGTCCATCGTTTCAGAGCAGTTCCTCTCCCAACAGGCAGAAGAAGCTGTGATGCTCTTCATTTCCCCTGTATCCAATAGAGGAATGCACATAAAAATACATTCACTCTTGAGAGTGAAAACTATGGTTTTCGAGGCATTTCGGTGTCATATTGAAGGGGACATCGGAGGCTATTGGGAGTCATCTATCATTCGGGTTGGAAACTAAAGGTATCGGGTGACTTCCTCAAGGTGCCAATACTGAAAGGTCTGAATGGTCACGAAGAATATTTCGGCGAATATTCGAAGCAGGCTTTTCTGATGCGAACGAGGAAAAGGGTCGTTCGCTTGAAAGTCGGATTTCGGATGTATGTCCCTTCGACGTGATATTTTGTGAAGAAGGAATATTCAGCAGAGAAGACGAAGTGGGCTTTCCGAATAAATGCAGGAAATATTTTCTGAGCATGAGGCGAAATCCAGGTTTACAGGTCCTTCGTCGGAAATTTTCACGGAAATGAATCGGAAATTTCCGGATGCCTTTGCACCGGAGTTGGGGGGGCTGAAGCCCCCCCCCCCNACTTCATTCAAGAACTCCAGTTTCTTTTGGGCGAATAATAGGACTCCCCACCTCGCTACTCCATTGCCTGCGCATGCGACGCAATCACATCAGGGATGTCCGTTCCACCATAAAAGCACAAGAAGCCCATACCTCCATCAATAGGTTGAGGGGTAAAATTAGAACATTGAATTTAGATGGTCAACTGTCTTGATAAGTTATATATTAATTGGCAAGTGTCTGTCCATATGAAACGCTCTGCGTACACTCTGAGAAAATTCCGAGCGTTTGGGGAGTAAAAAGTGAGCACACCATGAGCTTTTCGAATTTACTCTCTTATTACTCACCAAATGCTCCCTCATCGCTCATATCGAAGTGAACACCTTGAAGTTCATCGCCAGGCAACTAGATGGAGGTAAGGGTCTCGCTTTTAGCACAATACACGAAAATTTCCTTCCCTCTTTTCCTGGATTGTTTAGTACCTTGCCATATGGCTCGCCTAGTCTCGTCATAGGAATCAATAAACACGGACACTTTATCACCAGTTATCCACATATTCAAGACATATTCATAGAGTTCAGGCCATAAACAGGCTCATATTCCTATTGGAAAGCGTACGTTTTTATCCGCATGGGAGATCTAGAATATACAGAATGTCCGTGAACTTCATTCAATCATACCTCAATTAAGTGAGGTAATAAGGGACTAATACCCCGGGCATTCCACGGAACCTATAAGAGGTGGTCCACCCTCTGTCGTGTGCTGTAATCGGTACAGTCAGAGGTAGGTCAACGCCTGTACGAGAGGGAAAGCGACACAGCATAAAGAAGAAACTTCGTATTTGCCTGGCATCCCGATCACCTTCTGATGGAAGCGTTTTTACTCACGGAGAAGAGCAATTTTACTCCTTGGTGATGGAGTAAATTCGCTCCTTTCCCAGAGTAAATTTGCTCCTTTCCCAGAGTGAAAGGGGGGTGAAACTGGAGTTAGCTATTTTACTCTCTTTTTTGAGAAAAATCGCTCCCCTTTTTCTAAGAGTGTAGAGCGAAGGCTTCCACCCAGGACTTTCAACTTTCTTTCAAAAACTCTGGCTCATTTTGACATAGGGATCCCGTCTCGGACCTGATCGAAATTCTATCATTTTCGCCTCTCATAACTCGGCGTGCGACGGTCGCAAGGATAGATCGAAAAGAGCACCACCTCCCTCGCTCTCATCTCTGCACATCCTCCTGATGCATCCTTCCAGGAGTGACGCCATACCTATGCATCCATCCATATCTGATGACATAGATTATCATGCTGTATCGGCATGACGTACCGTAGTAAGCCACGGGCTAGATACGAATTCTGATTTTCCTGGTGCTCATGGACCTTGCATGGCGCAAATGACCTGACCTGAGGATCGTGTTAATTTTTTAATTTTTGTGAATGAAGTTATTATCGTACCACTTCGTCTCTATCACATGGTTTTTGGGACTTAATAGACTCTCGGAACAAAAGAGTCGCTTTGCGACGCGAGCGCAGCTAGTATATATACTAAAATCTGACATTCGTTGGGTGCAGAAAAACATTTACTTGTACAATTCTGGATGGAGATATTTCTCACTTTTTTTAAGCACAGTGCCGTTGGATTATAGTGCCTTTCCCCTGCATTGTCGACTGCGTCTCTACCTTTGATATTGCAACACAGAGAAGGAATTGGGCAACATTGAATACATTTAGTATACGCACTCCTGCCAGTGTGTCTCGAAGTTGATAAGAGCTTAAAGAGCTTATGTTAATTTTTCGCAGAGAAAACTCGCTCAGCGCTCTAATGTAAAGAGGGTGGGGAGTCCTATTATTCGCCCAAAAGAAACTGGAGTTCTTGAATGAAGTATGAAACTGGAACCCCTAATGGTGTCTAAAATGTCTGAACTGAAAGGTTTTCAGCCGGACTAAATTTTCAAGTTGGACTTGAATGAAATCGCTGTCTGGCAACCCTGACGTCAAGAGGGCTTTACACACCTCTAGGCAAGAGGGCCTTGCTATCACTTATCTGAAAGTCCGAAAGCTGCGAAGCCGGGTTATGTGAAAGACAACGAATGTGTTATTTTAATAGATGTGCTGAAGAACTCAATCACCACATGCAAAGGACACTGTTTTGTCAAGCCAAGCCGATGGTAAGATATTGAAGCCGCTGTCTCACTATGGCTTCCTGATCTCCATCTGCACAACATTAAGAAACATGCGCTGTAAAAATGTGCGAAACACAGCTATATAACTTCTTAGCTCTTCTAAATCCTAAAATATATCTTGATTTCCTTATATTTTGTATGTAATAGGCATCGGCGAACTAATGCTTTGCTTAAGTGAAATTTATGGGGGCGACTTCCTAGATCAGCACTCTCTTGACACTTTGGAAAACTTGTGCTATTGCGTGCTCAACCATAATCCAGCACATTAGTAATACTGGACCATGGGGCGACCAGGTCTGTTAAGAGCCATACCACTTGGATGTTGTTTAAGAACTAACTAACTTAATTATGAGGATAATTCCCTATTTCTGCAGTATGATGTTGAATTTGAATTCAAGTCTCCCATTTTGCCGTCACACTTCCAGGAATAGCCTTGGGGGACGCGAGAGGGTCCCAGGGGACGCGCAACAGGTCATGGGAGTTTTTTGTATATATACTTTTATACATATACTTTTATACTATATATATATATACTTTTGTATATATACTTGTATATACTACAATGTGCAATTTCAAAAAGTATGTGTCATATGGAATATTTTATTTATTTGTTATTTACTGGTAAAAGGTCACATTCCTTCAGGTCTTTCCTACTCTTTCTTCTACGAGGATTACAAGACTAAATGAAATTAACTTTCGAAGGCAGAAGGTTCAATTCTTTTTTTCAACGGTGCTCATTTCCATCGGTAATTTCCAAAAATTCGAATGAAGATGACAAATGGATCGTGCGTCTCTTTGGGCTGTAATTTGAAAACTCGACGAATGTAGCATTGGCGCAGTCGTTCTGTTTAAATAAATACTTGAAGAAACCCGTAGATGCAGAAGAGCTGGGTTCCCTGGGCAGAGCGAAATTTCTTAAGTCATTTCTCTATCAGGTCTTTTGAAAATTCTTCTCCCATATGCTTCATACGAAGTCTGACAATTAAGTAACCAGACTGATTCTGAAAAAAAAAAATTTATCACCAACATTTAGTGGATGTGGTCATCTTTAAAGTACTCTACTTCTGACTTCATACACACATAAAAACGTCTTTGCCATGCCTGGAAACATTGCTGGAAATCATTTTCTGAAAGTCATTTCAATACTGCCGTCGAGTTGCTCTGAATGTCTTCAATTGATTCAAAATGAGATCCTTTCAAGGAGTTTTTCAGTTTTAGGAACATGAAAAAGTCGCATGGGGCAAGATCAGGCGAGTACGGGGGATGTTTCAACATTGATATTTGTTTTTTTCTTTTTTGGCAAAAATTGCCCTACCGAAAGAGCTGCGTGGGAAGGCGCATTGTCATGATGCAAAATCCACTTTTCCGGGCAAAGATTCGGTCTTTTTCGTCAAATGCGCTGCCGTAAACGTTCCTAAACTTGAAGGTAGAATGCTTTATTGACTGTTTGTCGTGGAGGAACAAATTCGTAATGGAAAATCCCTTTGATATCGAAAAAGCAGATCAGCATCAGAGAAAAACGGCAAAGTCTCCCATGGAAAAGTCCAGAATCTCCCAGACCGAAAAAAGCGCGCATGTCAAAGTCGAAGGTGGAAGCCATGTTGATCTGTTTGACTTAGAATCCTATCAACTGAAAGACTGATGCGTGTTAAGGGTGAACCCAAAAACGTTTGGGATTTTAGCATGGTATGAACCCTATTAGAAACTACACTTGAAAGTAATCTGACTTAATCGAGTTAAGTCGAACGAAAATGTAGTGGGATCTTCACAGCGAAAGATAGAGAATTCTATTGCTGATCGTTAATCAAGTTTGCCTTGGCAGATTGGCAACTATCAATTCCATGATTGGCAGATTGGCAACTATCAATTCCATGTTCAAACTCCGTCAGCTCCTATCCACACGCCATACTGACAAACACCGACTGTAACAGATTGCAGACAACCGTTTTATACTTATGAACTACAGTAATGCCTTCTACCACATGGCCTCTGGACAATCTGTTATCGGCAGAGGGAGACTTGTCCCAATACTTTTGACAATATAGTGTATACTCGATACTTCTCGGCATCATTAGGAGTTCCTTATTTCATCACTGAACCCCTTCTGGGAACTATTAGTAAGTCCCCCACCCCCTTACATAACATTTCTGGAACAGACTTAAATACATCCGTCCTTTCCTTATAACTGAGACCAACTTAAACATTATACCGGGTGGCCAAAAAAAAAGTCCCGAACTTCGTGCGGCTTTATTCGTTGAGCAACTGATCAATTTCTAGTTTTCTACCTGAACAGGCTCAGTGCTGTGGAATCGATGGCCCTTCGGACTGGATCGAAAAATCTCCCAATGAGGCAATACCATCAAGCTGCTGCAAAAATGAGGCTGAGGTAACCTGTCCTCTCACTTCCCTTTTGTTCTTTTCTTCGTTAGACTTTACTTTCTTGTGAATATGAAACAGGGAAGCCAGGAAACACCTGTTGATCTTTGCTTTGTTTTAGTGCGAAAACCCATCTGTGGAGAACGGAAACATCTACACGTCCGGGTGCATGGATATCGTCTATAAATTGGAAAAGTATGCTGGAACTCTGGCCATCGTTGCCCTCGTCTTCGCTATCCTCATGGTTTGTTTCAATTCCTTCCATTCATCATTAACTTTTTTTTGTCTTGTCAGACCCGGTAGTAAAACAAGCCGTCGTCACTTGCGTTTCTTCTCTTTGCAGATTCTAGGCGTGATACTTGCTTGCATCGTGGGGTGTGCTGCATAAAATCTTCATTCTGGATCCCCTTCCAGCTTAAACAATTTCCGTCATGGTTGCAGAAAAAAAAGCCTGTAAACTTGTCTTTGTCCTTGAATAATGAAACCCATCTCATTTAAGTCCTTGATTCATTGGCTCCCAGAGTACTGAAAAACTGTCAATTAACCGAGAATGTCATAGACATTACAACGTCAAACGAAATTCAACCATGAGGCTGAGAGAACTGCGGGATAGGAACTTAAAAAAATGTTCTGGAAACACTAGTTATGTACTAATAAATCATGTGTAAGCCACTTCCCGGGAGATTTCAGTGACATCAACAATGAAAACCAACGAGGAATCCACTCCTTTCTTTCTTCTGAAAATGTATTATATTACAGTATCGATCTTCTACTCGTGTTAAAATGATACAACTGGATAACTCTGCTTATGGTTACTCAAGAGTTTGGAGGAACCTGGTGAGTTTCGGGGGGAACCCCCTTCCTCAAGCGTTGTGGGACGGCCAGGAGGAAAGGAGAAGGAATGACAGCAGGTAGTGTCATTCTATCAATAGAAAACACTACAAGGTGCATTCAGAAATTCCTTGCAGTTTACTCCTAAAGTATACTAAGATTCGCAAAGCCACTTCTCTTAATTCTCAACATTGTCTCCTTCTCTCTACACATACTGTTGCCACCGTTTTAACCAGTCTTTATAGCACTCAGCCAAGTCATCTTTAGGTGAATGTTTAAGCTGCTATTAGACAGCAGAGCCCAGGGCTCGTCTCCAAAGATATATATTTTCTTGCAATGAATCCTTGAGCTTGTCAAACAGCTAAAAGTGACTCGGCGCGAGACTTGGCGAATGGGGAACATGTTGTAAGAGTTCAATTCTCCTTTCGGCCAAGTACTCTGTCACAACGCGGGCAGTGTGTGGTGATATGTTGTCCTGGAGCAAGGTGAAATTTTCATCGACCAGTTCCAGGCGCAACTTGTCCACTGCCGGCAAGAGCTCCGTTTCTAACAGGTATCGGCAATACACTACTCGCCATCGATGGTTTGACCCTTGGGAACGGCATGAGCCAAAATCAAGCCTTGTTAGTCCCAGAAAATGACGTACAGAATCTTTTCAATTGAAGCAACTTGTCGAAACCTCTTGGGTGGTGAGGAATCTATGTGCTTCCATTGTTTCGATTGTCTCTTGCTCTCAGGATCGAAAAGGAAGATTCATATCTCACCCATAGCGATCACACGGTCCATGAATTCCGCTGGGTACGCCACATTTCATGCTACCATGGCAGAAGTGTCTATGTCGTGTGGAGGGCCTCAAAAGAGGACTTTTAACGTTAACTTTAAGCCGAAAACAAGAGAAAGACAATTTAGCACGAGCGGTTAATCGGAGGCAAAAGAAAGGGGTTCTGGCCTCACTCCACAGACAGGACAAGCCGTCTAAGGAGACGACTGATGACAAATAATAAAACGGTGTTCAAACAACAAGGACAACAAGTATTTAATTAAAGTTAAATTAAGAAAGTAAATAAATATCACAGATGATGTTGGAGTTTCGGATCGAAGGGAAGGAGGTGGTGTTGAAAGTCCAAGCTGTTACGGAGTCCCGATAGAAGTGCAGGTGAGGTTCTCACGAAAGGCTCAAAGGTTCGCCAGGCAGGAGGACGGAAACAGCACCGCACTTACGGTTAAACGAACCGTCCAGACTCCCAGCGGAACACGCACAGCCGTTCAAGATGTTAGACCAAATGTGGCAAACACAACCGGAGACGGTAGGCGAGAGACAGCCCGGAACACATACAGCACGTAGACGCACGGCGAAGCATGACAAAAGACGCGTGACCGGAAGAGGGAGGTAACACCCCCAAAATACAATGGAGGGCTAAGCGGGCCCAACCCTGACATGGGCAGAACCCATGCAGGGCCGCGAACAAAATAATGTCCCGCGGGAGCCACAAAGCTCTATCAAGGTTATATTCGAATTTAATATTTTTACTCATACGACATCTAAAAGGCCTTGCTTTGTGCCTTCGGAAAGCATGCGGGGCACCCAGTTGGCACTCACATTGCTCCTGTTCCTTCATCGGACAGAATCTTTGCAACTGTTCCATGAGAGTCCTAGTCTTCCTGCGATATCGTCGATGGACAGGTGTCGGTCTGACATCACCGCTATAATGCTCATGTTCATATCCAAATTCAATTTCCATGCAAAACAGCTTTGCATTTTAATCTTAAATTCATAGTGCTTGTATGGAATTCAATCATTGTTACATCGAATTCAACATAAAGAAACAAGAGAAACAATGAACAATAGGCAAAATAAACAGGTACTTCGACTAATTACAGTTGAATTCTTTGGCTTTTGTGTTTCATTTTATTAATACCTGTTCATTCCAAAATATCCTCCTCAATTCTAGTAATGCACATGGAGAACACCTTTGAATGTAACATTGAACTTCTCGCCTTCGTTTTCACTTTGTTCATGCATGAAAAAGAACTTTCAGCATAGCAGGCTTTTATTGTATCACGGGAGCTGTATGGAGATAGATCTTAAGACCGCCCAGAGATGGAAGCATCTCGGTGTACCCACACAGCAAATGTATATCCCAAAGATATCCCAGATATATCTCCTTGGGACAAGTGCGATGTCCCAGAGACAAGGAGTCTCTACCTTAGGGATATCAAAATGTCTGGGCCCAATGACATCCCAAGGATGTCTCTTTCTTGCAGCGCAAATATATTCGGAGGATGTCCCAGAGATATCCCTTGGGACAAGCGAGAAGTCCCAGGTAATACTTGCAGGTGCCTTCCTATCCGCAAAGGACTCATTTCCTACCGCACTCTTTACTTTCAAAGTTGTCTAATTATCCTTGGAACACGTGATCTTAAGAATTTGACCTATTGTATGGTGACGATTAAGGAGGATGAAAATCATCTTCTCATAGGGGATCCCATCAAAGGAGACACATATCCAAGAGATGAAACTTAGCACCTTTACAAGATGGATTAAGGATGTGATGATTTAGCTTCACTCTTTAAAAGTATGGGCTCAGGCCACCAACCAAGATAGTTGTATCCAGACATGCCGATCCTTCATCATTAAATAGAATATAGCGTAATAAATTAAAATTCTGATCACAATTTTTTTCCTTTCCCTGGTGGCAGCTTCCCTGATGTACGGTACGAAAATCCTTACCTATCCTCAGGGCAAATCAAGTTGATAAATTTAATGAAAAAGATCTGAGGTTGCAGGTCAGGGCTCACGGAAGACATCTACCGTCGAAGCTATGCACCTGACTAAAGGCGACAGAGAGCACTGAAGATGCCTAAAGACATCCCTAAGATGCCCCTAAGACCTCCTCAAGATGTCGAAAAGCGTTCGACTGAAGATGTCTAAAAGACGTCTCTTAGGTATCCCGAAGACATCCCTTACAAGATGTCCGAAACCGTCCGAAAGAAGATATCTGCAGGATATCCTATAAAGACCAGGGGACGAGTCGTCCAGATAGGGACATCCCTGGGATATCACTGTGCTGTGTGGGTTGTGTTGCCCCCGAAAGAGGAAAACATATTTTAAAGATTTTAAGTCCAATATTCCATTTTGGAGGATATAACCTGAAACTACAGGGTGCGTGGAAAGTTCTGCAACCAAACTCTTTTTTTGCTTGTATTTTTTTATTGCATTTTTTTATCACTTGTAATACGTTTTCTAATGGTGTTCAAATTTGTCTCTTTTATCAAATCTGGTTGAAATTTTTCTTACAGGAGATTTTGTCTTTAATTTAATATTTAGAAAATTTCCGAAAATTTTGATTGCAGAACTTTCCACGCACCCTGTATTGTCCCAGGTTTTTTCGAGTGAATTTTTAAATTGAATTTGAGAGACATTTTGATGTCACGCAGTGCGCAACGATGCAAGGTATCAAGAGTTTACAGAGCCATCGCCACCCTAGTAGCCACAAATGGTCCGGATGATCCGAAACTCGTCCATGGAAAGTCCAATTGTCCAGGGATAAATGAAAGTTCAGAAAGATGAAAACCCTTCCTTTGGGTGTTCATAGGATGTCATCACCATGGATTGATACCTTCTCATGCATTCTGAGCTTTATTCGGACATAATTTCCCTACATTCCCTGGATGGCTAAATGTCTCGTCCAAGGATAATCCTTGGACATGTCCATTGGATGGCTTATTGGATGTCCGTTTCTTTGGATCCATTGGAGATTCCCTTTGGGAAAGCTTTTGGATCACCATTGAGGGGTGCAGCGATAGTAACCCCCAGGTAACTATGGAGCATAATATGCATGCTCATGAGTATTCATGGTGTGGCAAAGGACCATAATCTGTTCATTGACAATCTCGCCCTTTCACGTTCCTTGGAGGAACTAGGAGAGGAGTCTTGGGCTGGAAAGTAAAGTAATATTGAGCTGAAACTCTCCAAATTCCACATGCTTATCTCTCAATCAAGAAACTGTTTCCCCCATCGCCATTGTGGAGAAGGAACAGACTTACTTGACAAGGGGAACCACGCTCTCACCATTCAATGTGCAAGAATTGCTGGGAGTCTCCTTGAGCTATGTTACGTCTCTCAATGAATGAATTAATTAGAATGACTTCCTTCCCTAGGCTTGTACGTGAGAAATTATCGAGTAGAGGATGAAAGCTTACGCAGAACAATTCGTTAGCATTTTGGGAATCGGAAGACATTCAGCGGCGGGATGAGCGCGACCTCGCTTAAAATGTGGGAACTTCGTATTCCTTGAAAAAACTGCTAGATGTCAGGTCAGATAGAAGGCCTCAACGGGGCGGGATTCCATCGAAGGGCATCCAATGGAAGACCATGAGAAGTTGTCCTTGGAGGTTCCATTGCTGGACGTCCAATGGAAACCCAAAGAAGTGACACATTGTTTCGTTCGTATTGTTGAAATCTAAATGAAATGATTTTATGGCATGACGTTACGAGGATCTGATCGTGGGATTTACTTTGCTCTTTTTTTTCTTCTAATCTCCCATCTTAGGTCGCAACCCAATAACTTCACTCAATATATAGATAGTGTGACATAATTGGACAAGTGCATGATTTCATTTAGATTTCGACAAAGAAACGGACATCCAATAAGCCATCCAATGGACATGTCCAAGGATTATCCTTGGACGAGACATTTAGTCATCCAGTGGATGTCCGAGAAGGATATATTCAATACATTGGATATCCAAGTGTCCATGAAGGTATGTCCAATGGATTTATTTTGAAACAAAATGGTTACTTGGGTAGTTTATCTTTAGAGTCCAATGGACATCTTACTG